TTATCTTTATTTTAAAATAAGAACAGCAACCTCAGCAGCACAGCACCCCTTAATGCCACTGCTGAATTACTGCCTTGAACCTCCAGGSCCATCTTCTGCTGCATCTTCCACTTACTGGGAGTCACTTACTACACCTACCTCCCCCTCCTCCATACTCATCTGAAATCATATATATATATATATTTCAAAAACTCCAATGCAAACCTGACACGGCGATAATTTTAAAAGCTGTGCTGCWCATGTCAAATTATTCAACATCTGTCTTCATGTTCCCACAAAAATTAGCATAGGATGGTGGTTTCTGATGACACCTATAGTGAAATATTTTGACTCCATCCAGCAAGTTGCAAACAACCTGTCAAGAGGATAATGCCAGTTYTCTAGTACTGCATATTAAAGTCAATTGAGGGCTTATCTGGTGTGTGAAGCTGACCTGACCTAAAACCAGAGGCTCTTGTGTCACAGAAGAGTGAATCTGACACATTACAGCTGAAGAACAGCAAGGCATTCTGAAGCACTGGGCTGGACTGATTTAATGCTTTAACCTTAAAGAGCTGATCAAGGCCTATGCAAATCTTGGACCAACCAAATCTTGGAATCTTGGACTATTTCTRTGGCACTCCAGACTCAAAACTTTGTACATAGCCTAGGTCACCATAGATTTAAGAGCTGGACAACAAAGAAATATGTTTGAGCACAAAAGATGAGTGCACATGTATGTATATACACATACACACATTTAATCTGGAGGGACTTTGTGCTCAAGTATTGCATTTTCCAAACAGAACCAGCCAAGCAGTGGCTCACAGGAGCCAGCTCCATCACTCCTTTAGYCAGCATATCTGTTCAGCCATTTCTGAGGACACAGGGTGAACTGAGATGACAGCAAAGTAGCTGAAGAGCTCCATGTCTTGGCACCCTGTTACTGCTGGCMAAACAGCTCTAGGCAGAGGCAGGGGAGAAGGATGGATCCAGATCCCCACATTCCAGGTGACATTAGAGTRCCTGTGCCCCAGAAACTGTCGGCAGAAGACATTCATGCACACAGGTTGCAAGAGGGTGTGAGGCAGCCTACATTAAAAAACTCCAGGAAAAGTATATTTACTTAAAAAAAAACCAAAACAAAACAAACAAAAAAACGCACAAAAGGAGCAGGAAACAAATCATGTCATATGCACATGAATTGAGAAAGTGTTGGTGTTTGTGGGCTAAACACAGGATATATTTTACTATGACACTCCTCCATCACAGACACAAGGGAAGTGTCTTCCACTAGCTGGTTGGTTGTTTTTTTTTTTTTTTTTGCTGTCTCTAGTGGCATCTCAGGGGTGATTCAGTGTCATGGTGTCTCTTAAAAGAAAGAGCCTTAACAGTTCATTTATTCCAACCTCTGAGGCCAGGGCAGGACTACTCTACACTCCAAGTGCTTCATCCCATCAGTTTCAAATGCAGCCTATCCACTCCCTCTGACCATGGTGCCAGGCAGCTTTCCTTACCACCCAGCCTGAACATTTCCTTTTCTTCCCTTTCCATCACCTTGCTGCATGTAGCCCCTCCTCAGACATTGTGATGCCCATTCCTGAAATGCCTTTTCTTCAGGTGAGTTAGGAAAGGCAGGGGACAAAACATCCCACTTTCTTATTCTGCCTGAAAGGCTGCTGCTGATCAGCTGGACTGTGCTAATTGCAAGACAACTCAGAAGCGTTAATTATACACTGCACATGGAGCAAGCAGCAGCACTGTGCACATCAAACCAGAGCTACTCAAGTCCTGAGATCTAGAAGGCAGAGTGGGAAGCAAGATGCATCCTCTTCCCTTTGAATGCCACCACCACCCCCCAATCCTCCCTGCTCAGTCTAACTCATAGTCTTTAAGTGCTGATAGCTCCAAGTCTTGAAGGGAAGTCCCCTGTCTCCTTACCTCTTCCTGCCTCCTCCCCAATTCTGACATTATCTAGAGATCTGTTTCAGTTGGCTCCTCATCTTGACCAGCAGAATTAATACACAGGGACTGAAAAGCACATGCAGTCTGGGAAATGGGCTACCACAAAAGCTGATAAAAGTTGCCTCTTCGGCAGTCTGCTGAACTGCCTTCCCCATCAGGCCAGCCTTGTCTCCCTGCAACAAACAAGGCTGAAAGAATAGGATCAGCTAATGAGGAGAGGGTTTCAGACACACTTCAGTCATTACTACAAATGCCAATTTATATAACAAGCCTCTTCAGGTAGCAGGCAAAAAGCACCTTGACTCCTAATTAAATTGCACCTCGATTGCAAATGCTTCTTTCCCAGAGCCCCCCTTATACACATTTTATTTGCACCATTCATCTCAATAAACCTCTCCAACAACTCTGCTCTCCTAGACAGAGGTCTTTTGTGCACATCCATGTGGGTGTATTATTTAAAGGGTACATCACATGGATACTTTATCTCGTTTAATCTGATTTAATCTCAAGAGATTTGCTGAAGTAAAATTTATTTATAGACCCATATAGATGCCTCCCCCAGTCTCCACTGGCAATATTCGAAGTCAGGAAAACAGATCTGAACCGTGACACTTCAGTTCCTGTAATTTTTACGGTAGGTGCCACATGAGATCGACATTCACAACACAGAATGCTGAAGTACAGCTTAAAGCTAAGGCAAGAGACCAACACAGAGGAAAAACCTCAGTGGAGATGGGGCAGTAGGACTAATTTCTAATCCTGCTTTTTATTTATCCTTGCAAATATAACAATATTAATCCAGCTCTGCTTGAGCCATCAGTAACAGCAATTTCACATCCAAAGAAATMGTGCTGGCTGCACAATGCATGAAATCAGCCCAGGGTAGTGGACTGAACGCAGGATTGGTAAAGACAATATGAAAACTATTAGTCACCGTCCAAGTTTGCAGCGTGCTGATTCCACGAGACMCAGCTCTGGGCTGCACTCAGTGACAACTGCATATTAAGGCTCCTGCTGTTCGATAGTTGGAAGAGGTAGGGGTGGGGAGAGGAAGGAATAGACTAGATTTCCCCTTCGTGTAGTTAAGTAAGGGAACAGATAGAAGTAGTGTACCATTTTGGCTTAAAAGGATGCCTTTATCTTAGTGTATGTCTGCATCTGTGCTTTCTTTTGTACACAGCTTCTTCAATCTCTCTCTGAGAGAAAAAAGACAAAAACATCAGTAAGTTATTCTGAAGATCTAATAGCAGCAACTCTGTCAAATGCAGGTTCACTGAAGTGTATGAAAAAATACAACAGGCAACCTTCTAAAGCACATTTAAGCAAACCCGGTTTTAAGCTCTTTTCCCTCTTGCTACAATCCTAAGCAGTGAGGCCATTCTACAGCAACTGACAGCTATTCAGCAGCAAACACACTGAAATGAAATAATAAAAGTTCAGCTAGAAGCAGATTACCTGTTTTAAGGGATTAAATGGCATGCCCTGACCAGGTTTCTGTACCACAAACTCATTCTACTCCTCATCTTTGCAGCCTTTCTAGGGTCATGCAATTTTTGTCTGGATATGCAGACTGAGAGAAAACACATACACTGAGAGGAAGAAATAAAAAGTAAATGTTAAATGCCCTCTATTTAGAACGGTTATTTTACAAAACAGACCCAAACTCAAATTAACATCCTAGTCCTCAAGGAGAAAGGAGGAATTGTTTCCATTAAAGAAATACATCATTAAAAAGTGACCTACAAAGACTTACCCATAGTCAGTGAGACTGAACTGATCTTTGCCAGAGCTCACACAAGAGACTGGCTGCGTGCTGTTAAAAAAGAGGGAGCGGGGGGGCTGGATTCTCTCACTGGGGTCTCTCTTCAGAGCTCAGAGAGCTTGGCTTGTTAGAGGCAGTGGCATGCCTTCCAGAAGGACTTTACAGCAACGCACAACTGACTTGTAAGCCAAGATAAAGCCGGCTTGTTATGAGAGACAAGTCTTGTGGGTTGCTTTTATTTATTTTTTCCCAGTGTATTGGAAATGCAGATCTTGTAAAGCAAGAATTCAGAGAGGGCTGGGAGAGAGGAAGGGGGGCTGCACGGCTGGCTAAAGTAAATCCCGGGTGTTTTCTCAGCCCGGGGCTTGTGCTCGGCGGCACGGTGTGCCATCCCCCACCTCTGTCCCCGCACTGGGGGCTGCGGAAACCAGCCCCCTCACGGGGAGACCACCCGAGCTCGCCATTTGCCACCCTGCCTGCAAACAACCAGAAGCAAGCTCCCGTAAATGCAAAAATAACAATAGTAAAAGAGGAAAAAAAATCAAGCAGCTCGACATACGCTCTGCCACAGACCACTACCCACCCATCTCCATCACCTTAAGAAGAATATCAGCAGCAAAGTTCCACAGGGTGCAAAACCAGCCTCGCCTGCCCCCCGCCCCGGGGTGCCCGGAGGGGCTGGCCATGGGGAGCAGCGGGGAGCTGGCCCCGCCGAGCCGGGCAGAGCGGTGGCGGTGCCGGGCAGCCCCCGGTACCCAGGGAACGAGACCCCGGAATCCAGAGACCCCGGCACGGCAGCCCGGCCGCCCTTCCCCCTGCTTCCCGTGCCGGCGGTCCTGAGAGGATGGAAAGCCGCAAGCGCAGCGCGGAGAAGGGATCCTCCGTCCACCCCCTGCCCCAAAGAAAATGCAACTCGGAGGTGCTCCCGGAGCCGCCCCCGCCGGCATCAGCGTGGCGTCCCCACGCGAGGCGGGTGGGGAGAAGGGAGGCAGGGCCGGAGCTCCAGTCGCTCCGCTGGCGGCAGCCCCGCCGGCGGTCCCTGCGTGCCATCTCGGCGGACTCGTACATGGGAGGCAGCCAGGGGTTACGGCGAGGAATTATGAAGTAGCTACAGGCGCTGGAAGCCCTATTGCTGCAATCGGTCTCTCCGCTCAGACAGAGACGAGGTTCGGCGGCATCATTTACTTTCTCCTGCAGGTGCTTTTTAACTTTGATGCCACCGCCACCGTCTGCGCCCTCGCCCCCCACCCCACACCCCTCCTTCGCAAACAGCGACCGCGACAACGTCTCTTACCGTACACCCCTTGTCCCCTGCTGTACACCGGCACCAGAGACAGGAATAAAAAACAGATCATGTCCATCTTCAAGGCAGAGCCTTCATCGCCGGCGAAGAAAAACAGCCAAAACAGCTCAGGCAGCATCCGGCGGGGGAGCAGGGAGCAGCCGAAAGCCTCCTGGAACGCCGCCCCATGCGCCCCGCTCCGCGCCGGGCACCGGCGCCCCTCGGGCGGAGGAAGGGACCCCCCACACCGGGGCCGCCTAGGGGTAAAATTTAAAATTAAAAACAAAAAGCAAACAAAAAAATTAAAAGAAAGGAAGGAAAAGAAGGAGGGAGAGAAAGAGAGAAGGAGGCGGGGAGGGCAGAAACGTGGAGTGCCGCTTCCCGCTTCCCCTCGCCAGGTTGCTCGAGGATCTCCAGGCGAACAGGCAGCCGCGCCCGCACTCGGGGTACGGGGAAAGGCCAGTCCGGGGGCACCGAGGCGGCGCCGAGCTAGGGCAGCAGCGGGGCTCGGGCCAGCCCAGCGTTATCCCCCGATCCCTGCGGGAAACGGGGCTCCTCTGTTCAGCGGGAGCTGCCGAGCACTGCCCCAAGTCCCGTGCTACCCGAAGTGCTGCCAACTGGGGCTAACTTGAGCGAGTCCTCGCCCTCCCTCCTCCTGACGAGGCTCTGGCCGCAGCCCCTGGAACGGACGGGGAGAAGGAGAAGGAGGTGGAGAAAAAGGGGGGAAGCGAGGGTGGGGGGTAGGAGACAGCTGCCGAAAGGCGGAGGGAGAGATAGGTGATTCTCGCTCCTCTTTTCCAGATCTTCCGAGGAGAGGACTGTTGTAATTAATCAAATCCAGGAAGGATTTTTAATWTTTTTTTTCTTTAAAGCGGCTCCCAAGAGCTCCCCTAGCTGCACTGCACCGCCCCAACCAGCATGAAGGGAGAAGCAACCGAGGAGCAGACAGACCACGCACCCTCGCCGCGCCTGCAGCTCAGCCCGGCTCTCCTCTTCTCCTCCCCAGCCTGCCAGGTCCTTCGCCCTTCAAAACTTTCCCTGATGTTCTGTGCCGGCCTCGTGTGGGTGCGTCGCCTCCGTGCTCGCCTGCTCCGCCCGCCTCGCAGAGGATTTGCAGCTGTAAAGAGGCCCGTGTCTCTCTCCTCGACGGCTGCCGGAGCTCCTAGTGGGAACTAACGGGCTGCAACTGGAAGGGAGCCGACAAGGAGGACCGGACAAGAAGCTGGACAAAGTTGAGCTACTCCTACCAGACGCCAGCTGGAAACCGCCTGGCAGGTCTCTACCCCACGGCTTTTTCCTGAAGCGCCAAAATCTCCTGCAGAAGTTGCCGGGAACGTCACCGCTCCCCAGGCAGCCCCGGGGCACTCCGCTCCACCGACCCCCAGTGAGGCGTCCGGGGCTTCCCGTGCCCGCCAGCTAGGCTGGCCCGAGGTCGCCTCGCACCTCCCTGCCTGCCGGCTCTGCCAGCCGCGCCTTATTTTCTCCTCTGTTGCCTTTCCAGGTTTTCCCCCTCCCCTCTTCACCATTTCATTCCCCTTCGGTTAAAGGGGAAAAAAAAAAAAAAAAAAGAAAAAAAAAAAGAGCCAATTAAAGCGGGCGTGCTGGGGAGAGCCCAGCCTCCTGCCCAATTCTGCGAGCCGCCCCGGCCCAATTATAGACAGCACCGCAGGGGTGGGGAGAAAAAGGGACTTGCTTCGGGCGAGAGACCGGTTGTGAGTCCGGGGTACCCCCATCCTCAGGGCGCTCGCGGCAAGGTCGATTCTCCCGGCTGGGACCAAATGCCAAAGGATGGGGGGCAGCGCAGGTTGCCGGGGTGTCTCCCGTGCTGGCGCTCGCTGGTGCCAGCAAAGTTTCTGGGGACCCCCAGGCAGGTTGCAGGCTGGCGGGGCTGCTCTGTGCATGCTGCTAGGGAGCGGTGGGGCGGGGGTGCTGTGCGGGGCCCCAGCCCGGTGCGTGGCTGCGGGGGCCGCGGTACTCGCCGGGCTGCCGGCCCCGGGCCGGGGTGATGCTCCTGCGGGAAAGCCGGAGCGGGGGAGCTGTGCGTGCCCCCTCCCCGTGCCCTCCCGCGCAGGGCCCGGGCCGAGAGGCCGGGAGGAGGAGGAGGGAGAGGAGGAGGCTATACCAGCCCCAAGGATCACCACCGGCACCGTGGGGCTGCGCGGAGCCCTGCTCTGCCATCCCTGCCCCCGTGTGCTTTGCAATGGAAATGAAACGCTGCTTCTGGGAAGCCTGGACCTGCTCGTCCCCGAGTCGGCGAGCCCACCCCTGCCTAGCCCGGCTCCGTAGCAATGAGCCCAGACCGGCGGAGCCAGCGCCGTGCAAACCCCTGTTAGCGGCGGCTTCTGCTCCCGGGGGCCGGGCTCCGGCTCGCTTCTTCCCCAGCGCTGGCCCAGCCGGGATTCCCGGGGCAGGGCTGATGCGGTGTCCCTTAGCGACAGCGGGTGCTCTCCGTCTCTTCCTCGGGGCTCGCCCCTGCACGCCCCCCCCCTCCTCGGCCACCCGGGGGTTTGGTTTCGTAGCCCTGCCCCGCGGCTCTGCATCCACGCCTGCTCCCCGCGGCAGCTGGAGAGGGGTGCGGGACCCGGAGGAAAAGCGGGTGGAAAGATGTATCCCGCAGGCACCAAGTCGTCATGTGAACAAGTCACTCCCTGGATGAAAACGTAATTTTAAAAAAAAGAAAAAAAATCAAAAAATGTGGCCCAAGGAGCGGCTGGCTGCTCAGTCATGCTCTAACGAACAAGCAATTAATAGATATAGCCCCTAATTAGTAAGTAGTTATTCCTAGTAGTTGTAAATGGTGCTCAGCAAGAAAGAGAGAAAAGCAATAGMATGCACCAGGGTGAGAGCAGCAATAAAGAGAAGACAGCTTCACTCCAGAGCCCAGCATCCATGCATGTGGGAGGCATGGCAGGTGATTTCCCACTGGACTCTAGTCTATCACTTACCAGGATAGCCCCAGTATAAAACTGCCTTGTTTGTTTTTGTGGTGGTTTGGGGTTTTTTTCCTTTGTGTTTCTTTTTTCTGTAATTAAGGGAAGATTTGCCAAGAAACTGCAGGCTTCACATTCTAAGATGCCTTTCCCATAGCTGGTGGCATAGAGCAGGTGAAAGCAACTAATGTGAGCAAATTTACTCTTTAATACAATAGACCTTTATCTGAGAAGGATTCAACCCTTCCCACAGTGGATGGTTGCAACATTAATAAAGGGTAGAAGAAGGCAGCCAGCACCAGGAGGACAGGTGGATCAACCCCTTTGCCAGGGTGTGAGGAGAAGCAGGAGATGATGATAATGAGACAAAGTCAAATTGTCCACATCTCCATGAAGCAGGCTGAAAGCAACCCAAGGAAAACGAAATGAAGAGATGTTTGCAGATCCAGGAAGCCTCGTGGTGATAAAATAAAACCATGGAGACATGAGTCTTGTTCTTTTCTATGCATAATTTTGAAATAAGTATATTTATGTGGCATTTTCTAGCCTTTCCATTATTTTTTTTTCAGGAATTCTCATTAAATTATGGAATAGCGCCTCCGTGTTTGAATGAGTATAAATTAAATATCTGGCTAATGAGTAAAAAAAAATGTAAAAAATGTTTGCTTCACACCCCTTTTTTGTGTTAGTATTCAATGCACATGCCCATGTTTCACTGGCACAAATGCTTATGAAAGATGAATTTCAAAGTAAACTGCCAAAGTATATTCTGAGTGGGAAAAAATACTGCCAAAACTCAAGAACATAACTGCATTTGCTAAATAAGGTAATTAATAATTATTGCTTGAGGCCTAATAAATCACAGCATTCATAATTATGGAGTTTCCAATGGGTGACAGCAAAGCAGAGCTAAACAAGCTACTTGTTATAGGGAAACCATAGCCTGTAGTGATTCTACTGTCAGAAAGCAAAGATGAAGGGTGCCTTTCCTCCCCCCAAACTGTTTCTGCACAACATATTTGTCCCATCTTTCCGTCTGGGAGTCAGTGTCTCTGGTCGCTTCTCAAGACCCCACTTGTCAGATGAGTCCTGTCTCTGAAATATTTATACATACTCCATCACCTATATTTTACTTCTCTGTTAAGAGGTAGACAGCCTCTGGGACAGCTGCTGTGTTCAAAGAGAGCAAATCATATCAAGCACGACGCCAGGCAAGAAGCGATTGAAGAACTGTGTGAGGCCAAGGTCCAGTTGCAAGAACATTAATTATCTCTGTGTCACTGTTTTCATGCTATACTCTGGTGCAGTCTGTCATTTCTTTCTTTTCTGGGATGATGCAACTATCTCTGGGCCCCGGTGATCTCTTGAGCTTGTGGCCTGACATTTCTATCACCTCTTTCCTGTTCATTTTCTTCTCAGCAACCCATCAAAGAATGTCTCCAAGATCCATGAAGTTTGATCTCTTCCTTCCCTCCCTCCCTCCCTCCACACATATATGGAAGCTTTACTGCAACATTTCCCTCACTATGCCTGCTGAAAGGGAGYAGAAATAGAAAGTAGGAATGGAAAAGGAACATAATGGAGCACCTTAAAGGCAAYGGGCAAAGCCAGGGTGACTCCAAATGCTGCAGGGGAGGTGAGAGTTGGGAAGGGGAAAGCTGGAGGACTCTGTAACACTCTTAGCAGGGAGATGGAAAAACAAGGGAATTCTAAGGTCTGCAGTATAGGTCTGCTTCGAGGAGCTGAGCGTACAGGGTTGTTCCTGTGCTGCTGCTGAGCTGGAACAGGTTCTGCAAACAGTGTGGAACAGGGCAARTGTCTGACCTGAGGCAGTGAGTTTGGGCAGCAAAGGAGCCGAAGAGGGGAACTGGGAAAGGCAAGGGAAAGCCAGTGTKTGTGAGAAGGGGTGCCCCTTCCAACTGCTTCAGACAAATTAGGGTCAACAGCACCAGGTACTCTGCAACAAACAAACTACGGGAAGATGGGAAGCTGGACAAAGCTACAATGCAGTTAAACTGTCTGCTGTCTGTTTTCTTTCTGTTTAATTGGTCTTCGCAGGAAAACTGTAAAAAAAAAAAAAAAAAAAAGAACCCTGGTTTGCCATTCTGAAGTGCTAGAATCAGAATATCTATGCCAAAAAAATTCCCCTGGCCTTGAGCAGTGTTTCCCATCATTCATAACAGGCTGGTGCTGCTGCAGTCCTAGATCCTCCTGGGTATCTCCTGCTTCCAGTRTGGAGCATGCCAGAATAGGGCTATAAATCCCACGGGTTCTGCTTTGCTGTCCTCAGTTCTCCTCATCTCCACTCCAGGGAATACACCTTATGCTGTGCTCAGTTTCTTCCCAG